AGCTGACTTCGGGCTTCACAGGGGAAGGAACATCAAAGTAGCAGGAAGTCGAGGGGTGGGGAACGGAAGAGTGATTTACAGTTAAAGGTAGAAAAAGGTGAGGTGAGTACTGTGGAAGTAGTCGAATATGACATACAGTGGGGGGATGGTGGCTTGAATTCAGAATTCAGCTGCCGGTTAATATAAATGAAACATTAGATCTTTAATAGCACCCCCTATTTCTCTGCAACGTTGTCATTCTCCGTCAACTTCTGCTTGATATGTCATAAGGTATCTGTGAACGCAATATCAAATCGAAATAAAATTAAAATATCTGTATATTTTACCTCTTACTGTTTAAATTAGAATTTGTATAAATCGGCTTCATAGTCTTATATTTGACTCTATTTTCAATCTCAGAACTCAAATTACCAATAAAAAAATTCCGTCTGCAGCAACTCCAGTAATAAGATCCGGTGCAATGATGGGTTCACTGCGTGCCCTTAATAATATCAATCAATCTGCAAGTCCTAAAAAGCACTCAACTCAACCACTAGGATCAAAATCCCGACCACCGAGTTCTGCCTCACTCCGAAATAGCCTAGTTGCCAAGGAAAGTAAAAGCGATATCAGTTTCACGGAGATACCTCTACGCAGAGTTCAAAGCTCCATGGAACTTCGCAATCTCACGTTCCAGACGTGGTGTGAGAGGAGGGGAAAACAGTATCTGGTGGAAAGGAGAAAAGAGCAACTTAAACGACAACAGGAGGAGGAAGAGGCAGAAAAATTGGTAAGGAACCGCTTCATAATTCCGTACATTGCAAAGTTGTACGGAACAGAGCAAACTTGTAAAGTTGAGGTTTTTGAAACTCTTTTCAGTCCTAAGTGTTTGAAATAGATGAGGAAGTTGAGTTTGAGATTCCGAAAGACCGTTATTTGGAAATCGTCTTTTATTTCAATTAAAATTCAAAGACTTTCGGAATCGTAAGAAGTATGGAAAACTTGTTGGGAATGCTGTTTACAGGACAAATTTGAGGGAAGTGTTTCACGAACATAATTTTATTGATAATCCATTCATCTGCTATATTCCAGCCATCATTAATTTTTACGTTTTTTTATCAAACCTCTGATTATATCCGGTTATTCTAATTGAAATTTTCTAAAGGTTGGATGGATGTGCTTTAACTAAGTTGGTAGTACAATAGCATTCATTCTTAAGTCGTTGGTAATAGCAACCACCCCTTGTACCAAGACTGAAGGTTATGGCATAAGTCTTCCAATTATATATATTCTAGAAAACAAAAGCGATTTAATGTTACGCAAAATTGCGCTAGACTCATAGCTAGTGCTTTGGGGATGAGGCAAATAAAATTTATGTATTTTATGGAATTCTTAATCTACAATTTGATTAGTTTATTAGATTCTACGTCCTCAAATTGAGGTTATTTATTCCGTTTGGGGTTCGGCTACTTATATCCGCATTGAGAGTAAGGAGACAGATTTAAAATCGTCGGATGGAGTGTGATCGGGACAAGCTTAGGTGCCCAACACAGTTAATATTCATTAGAAAAATTTTCTCATTATACATTTAATCAACTTTTTTTGTAGAAAGCAGAGAGATCCAAACAAAATGCGGAGATATTTGCAATGTGGCTGGCGAAGAAGCAACAACAAGCGATCGAGGCAAAGAAAAAACGCCTAAAAGAGGAAGAAGCGAAACGAGAAGTAGAGGAGAACAAGAAACACCTCAAAGCGGAAACAGAGAAGGTGGGCGAAAATTAGGTGGTTGTGAGCAGCACAGGAGGCGTCTTAGTCAATTTTACTACTACTTCTTTCACATTTCCAGGCTTTTGAAGCGTGGAAGAGTAAGAAAGAGGCGCAAATGGAACGACGGCACTCCATTTCCTACGTGAATAGGGAGAAAGCAGCAGAGGAATTAAGAGCCAAATTAGAGAAATCAATAGCTGCTCATCTTGCTTTTGAAGAATGGTAAGTGAAGTGTCTAGTAAGTTAGAAACTCAATCAATTTAAGGCAATTGTCACGTAAGTTTTTCCGTCCTTAAGGTTACTTAAAGGTCAAATAGACAGTCAAATAGTTTATTACTGAAGTAACTATTGGCTACTTATTTGATTGCAAGTATACGATTGCCGATGCATAGTCTGAAGGATCTTTATTAAAGAGCATCTTATAGGCTGGTTAATAGTAATAAAGACTTATATCAAATGGCGGGCATTTTGATGGCTATCATTAGCCATTAAGCTAACTTCGGACTTCACAGAGAGGAGGAACATCAAAGTGACAAAAAGTCGA